AAAAATAGTTAGAAAATACAAGAAAGCCAAAATTAGTATGCACTGTCCCTTTCTCTGAGACGCTGTAAACTCATGGAGGATATCTTTTCAGAGCCTTTTCTCTTCATATACAGGTATAAAATATTTTTTAAAAGAAAAGCAGGACCACACTGTAAATTCCCACACTTTGTTTCAGTGGTAATGCTGAGTTATGGATTCTTTATTCTAGGGCATTTAGGCTAGCCCACATTTTTCAAACAACCCAGAACAGAAATTTATTGGCTGAGAGTGAGTTCTCATGAAACAGCAAAAAGTTAGGTGTTTCTCCACATTCTTGAAAAGAGTGTTTAATAGTGCTTAAAGATGCAAAAGAAGTTGCATATCATAGTTCAATAAAATGATCTCAAAAACCCTACATTTTCATCTTTGGAACTAACTTCGGTGTTGCCAGTTTACATTCATCAAATCGCTTTCAGGCAAATTGCCGAAGCGTGATTGGAGGCAGAGACTCAGACAAAGGACTTCTCTTGATGGGAGATGTCTTGATTTTTTCTTTGTTCATGAGACTCAGATTTAATAGCAAGTATGTTAAAATTATAAATGAACAAGGCAGTAATTAATGGTGAGGCTGAATTTTTATTCCTACCTCTTCCCAGAAAATTCTTCTTTTAATCAGCACTCATTACACACCCTAAGCTGGGAGTTTGCCATGTTTTTCTAAAACAAAATTTCCTACATGTGCCATGATTCCTTCTCTGTGAGTGGTTTGTGCCCTCACTGGGCAGTCACATGTGTGTGCACTGACTTCGTTTTGCCACGAATGGGCTCTGGAGCCCAGCGGGAAGCTGTGACATGTAGCCCAGGGCTTTTGTCCATGGTGGGTCCCCCACCCCCACCCCTCGCCAGCTCCCCCCTGCCTCCTGCTACCATCTTGCTTCTGCTCCAGTCTGTTCCCTTTGCAGTCGCCATGGTGATTCAGACATATCTCTTAAAACCTTCTGATAGCTTCTCATCACAGTGAGTATGGAATCTAAACACCTCCCGTGGCTATGGGACCACAAGTTGTCTGAAACTGCCCACCTCTCCAGCATCGGGGTGTACTGGTCTCCCTGTGTTCCTGTAGTTCCAGCCACAGAGTCAGGCTTGTCCCTGCTCCAGGTATGGGCTCCACTGTTTCCTCACATGATGGGCCCCTTCCCATTCTTCAAGTCTCAGTGTAAATTTCCCTTCCTTGGGAGGATTTCTGGGCATGTTCTTTAAAGTAGCTTCTAACCCTCCTTGTCCTGCTGCCTTGTTGTGCTTCGCTGCACAGCGCCTCACCTATTTGGAATGATCCTGCCTACTTTTCTTTAACACATTTACTGTGTGGCATCCCCTCTGCAATCTGAGCTTGGGGGGCCCCTTCCCTGCTCTGTCTCCTGTGCTGAGCACGCAGTGAACCCGTGATGAATCACAGGACCCCCAGATTTTCAGGAAGTTTAGAAGGTTCCCCCAGTGTCCCACTCTTGGGGAAAAAAGTAGAAATCATGTCAGCTCATTCATAGATCAGAACTGCTGAGGAGAAATCTGGGCTGGATGACTCTGTGTGCAGCAGGGAGGTGTTTGTTTATTTCAGGAATTATTAAGAAACCATTATCGTTTTAGGAAAGCAATATGAAAATATATGGAGTTGGCTCTTACTGTCAGTGGTAGTTACATTCTATAAAGCCACCACGGATGAATGTGGAGTCATTGCTCTTAGGAGAAATAGAAGCTTAGGTTTCTGCGGGCCTCAGGCCACAGCGTCGCATCAACCCATCAGTGCTGACCTTGTCTTAGTGAATTCCTATTTGAAGATGATTAATTTACTACACATTGTGGATTCACTGGCATGGACTCGTGGCCCACGGCACTGTGAGGTTCACGCCTGAACAAGGCTTCTCCAGCGAGGCACATCGCAGCCTTCTCCCACTTAACAGCACTGGACAGCTCGTCAGACCAGGCTTGGGGTCATTTTAAACACTAAAATTACCAAAAATGCAAAAACCCTGACACCAAGTAGACCACAGAGCACAGACCTGCTTGCGGTATGAACTTGAAGGCAGATGCCTCCTTATCTGATCCAAGTTTGGAACATGCGCTTTGGGGGACTCGAATTTTTCACTGCTCTTCACTTGCCCATCAGTGATTACACAGGGGCTACGAGTGTTGATTTGGGGGTTATAAATACATTTTAGTGAGCTGGCGAATTAACCAGATGGAGCCCATAAGTAATGAGGATCAGTTGTCAGTGTCCATCACCGGAAGCGATACTGGCCTTGGAGAGAGGGCACTTCCATTCTGATTCTGGTTCTGTCACCCAGGCATTGTTTGGCTTGGGGAAATCACTTTTTCTCTTGTAATCAGAATGAAGGCACAGACCTCGGTGATTGTGAAGTTAATTGACAGCTTTCATGGGGGTTTTGATATTGTTTTCTCATTGGAGAGAGAATTGCTTTGAGTACTCTAAGCTTTAGAAACGCATCTGCTGCAAACTAACACTTTCTTTTTATGAAGGTTGAGGCTCTGGATGAGAACAATTTGGTCATGAGTTTAGAGTTCAGCGTTCGAGAGACTACATGCAGGAAGGATTCTGGAGAAGACCCATCCACGTGTGCCTTCCAGAGGAGCTACAGCGTGGTAAGTGGGGAGAGGCCCCAGTAGCGCCACCTGGCTGGCGTATGGCCACAGCACCGCCTGTGTTCACACAGTGTCCCCTGGTGGGCGCAGGGTCGGTCAGGGGTCGTTCAGGGGTCATTTAGGACTTGCATTGTGGAGTCTGTGATCCTGAGTGATCCTGACAATTATACTTCACCGCTCGTGCCTCAGTTTCCTGCTCTTTAAATAGGAACGGATTTCCATCAGGAAGAGTGAATACAAAGAGGTCAAGAAAAAGAAAAAATTCTAGACACATTTCAAATTCTATTATAAATGAATATAAAACACTGACACTGTTCCTGGGACCCTGTTTCGTGGTTGACTGTTGAATGTCATCAGTCTTCTCTCCTGGCTCAGGCACCATGAGCCCAGGAACATGGCATGTTGATTTTTGTGTACCTTGTGACAGGCGTGGGCCGGGTCGTCTGAACAGGGCGGGGCGACCACCCCACATTTGTTTTCCACACTGTTGGCATTCAGATGAACAAGCTCTCAGGCTTCTAGTTCTTAAAAATGATTGCTTGCTGCTTGTTTGCTTATTAGTCCCATCAGACTTTTCACTGTGACTCTATTTTACAAAGGACCCAAACCAAAGTGTCATCTATATCTAATGACAGCTGAGGGCAGACGAGAGAGCGAAGGCCCCACTTGAATGGGAACCGATTCCAGGCGGCCGGCTCGGCACTCGCAGACGTCATGTTTGCTTTTCCTAGAGTCTTGTGATGTGTCAACATGGAAGAAATGTTTAAATATTTCATTTCTTTCTACTTAGGTCTTGAGAAATTTTTTATTTTGGAAAAGTGAAATGTCTCTGTGGATTTTCCCTTGTCACTTGCCTGATTTATTGGATAGAGGTTAACTCACCTCAGCTGAAGCTGTGACTGGTTGTTGTGCCTTTTCCAGCCATCCGCTGTGTGCAGAAGCTCCGTGCAGGTGTCCATGGAGCAGGTGCAGAGCGTGCGGGCCCGCTGCAGCTGGGCCTCCGTGTCCGACTCCTACAGCAGCGAAGAGGTGGGACCAGGGCCTTGCTCCCTCCCGGACAGCGCCTCTGAGGGTCTGGGTGGGCCTGTGGGAGGCAGAGTGGTTTGATAGGGTAGCTGCATCATCAGTCAGGGAGGAGTAAGCCTCGACTCTCTTCTCGGGCGGAGTCTCCCTTCTACACACGGCCTCATGTCCCGTATTCCAGGCTTCCTCCAGCCTGTTCCTGGGTGCTTGTGCTCTCGCCCGTTCTCCCTCCCCCACCCCTGTGATTTGGGACCTAATCTTAAAGTAACTGTTAGTGTATTTCATAGTTTTCCATCTATGTAGCTCCTTGGCACTGTGGTTTAATGGCATGAAGGGGGGCATTTTTGTTGAAATAATGTTCAAAGCTATCTACCAGCTCTGTGGTCTAGGTCAGGAAACTTAACCTTCATGTAACCCTCATGGTGCACAGCTTCCTCCTGTTAAATGGCCATAGGTTGTTGAGAGAATTGGGTAAGTTCATGGCCAAGTGTCTGGTATATGACCGATGCTCAGTGAATGGACCTTTTTTACCCTTTCAATTGCATTAAAAGTGATTTGCAATGATAGTGTAAAATTTATAATATGTACATTCCCGACTTGAAATCATATAATCTTGTATTTTCTGTTCATTAACTGCTTTTTTACTAGACTGTGTGTCTTATGAGGGCAGAGGATATTCTGTCTCTGCAGAACAATGTTTGATACAGGGTTGATGTTCTTTAAACATTCAAATAAACACAAGGGAATTCATTCAACAACAAGAAGGCAGTATGAGGGGGCAGCCTCTTTGAGCTAGGGATAAAAATATGACTTACTTTATTTGTTCATTCATAACTGGGTAATATTCTTGGCTGATATTTTTAAAATGTTTCTGCCAATATACAAATGAATCTGTCCAGCAACACATTTCTATTAAGTTTTTAAGGTTTAATTCTGTAGTGAAAATTACATTAAAAGAGTATAAAATTTCAACTTCAAGAATTACACATAAAAGTTAATTTTCCCATGCAATTCATATGCCGGCACCTTAAGTATTGGGTATGGAAGCTCATTTTAGAGTAAAAAGTAATGAAGCTAATGGCTGAGAAACTCCTATTACAGAGAACAGTCTTACTGGTACAAAGAGAGCATTGCACAGTTTGTCTGGACTTTCTCCACAAAAACTTAGTTGAGCATGACCTTATTGATAGATGGTGCTCACAGTGGCAACTTCAGGGTGTCAATTTCCAGGTGATGTCTGTGCTTGTCACAGAGCCACAGTTTAAAGATCGTCTGTTCTTGTGCTAGGGCAAGTGCCCGTCTACTTCTAGATAGACTCTATGAAAATGTCCAGAAGTCAGATATGTTTCCCAGTAATACGTGTGTGTTCACACGTGTTAACTTGTGGGCTCAGTTGACACAGAAATGACAAGGACCAAGCATAGCATTTCGGATTTTGTTAGTATTGATTTTGTGATTTATATGAGAGCAAGACAAGCATAGTCTCAGGCTTCATGGACTTAATAGACTTGTGGGGGTTGGAGGGAGGCATCCATGAAACAGGAATAGCCCTAACTACCAGGCAAGTGCTTGGGACTGTAGAGCAAGGGGAAGGGATGTTGTGTCTGGGCAGATGGAGCTTCCAGAGGGAATCCAACCAAGACCTGGGGGTTGGGTGGAAGTCAGACGTGGGGCACAGAGTGTGCAGGGGAGGGAGGCACACACCCTTCCCTGGGCACAGGAGAAGTCACACAGGCATACTCCAAGGAGCAGGGGAGGTGCTGGAATAGAAATTCATTATGAGTGAAGAAAGCAGAATTTGGGGGCAGACACACAGGTAGGACAGTTCATGTTGGGATTCCTGCCTTTGTCCTCATGACGGAGGGGACTACTGAGGGGCTGTAAGTGTGTGCAGGTGCAGGGGAAGGTCAGAGAGTCAGGTCACACAGAGACTGGAACTGGGTGAGGATAAACATGGACCTCGAGGAGATGGGCATGAGAGGTGAGAGAGAATGCTCACTGGGGCCAGGGTCTACTAGTAAATGTCGAGAAGAATGGATTCTAGTTCATTCTATGACCTTTGACACAGAATTGATTTAAACTTCATTTACCCACTCTTCCATCTCTGATTTGGAAAGTTGATTCTCATTGCACAACCCACCAATGGGGTGCCACTTCCTAACTGTGCAGTAAACACCACTAAGAAGACTCTGATGTTAAATTAAGGTAGTCCAGAAATAAACTTGATTTTAGAATAAACTGCCAGGGAGCTTGTCCTTAAAAAATTAGGAAATCATAAAGAACTATGAGCAATGTTATAAAAATATTCCCAAATTAAAGAGTTTTTCAATTCAAAAGAAGAAGAAAGCAGATAAAGACTTAAAGTAATTCTTGGCAACCCCGAAATGGATTTCTTACATGAAACAGAGGGGAGAAAATATAAAACAGCTGTTAACCATTTTCAATGAAATAAATGGTGATATTACAAACATGAAAGACTATAGACTAGGATGAATTTAGTCATAGAACAAATAGATCATTGTTGGAAGCAGGAAATGAAAGAAATAAGGCTCAGAACAATCCCAGAATAATGCAAATAAAGGTCACTTGGAAAACATATGTAGAATATGGAAGAATTACCAGTGCAAGGAATACAATGCAAAGAAAGGTATGGAAATGGAAAATAAGCCCCCCGATCCAAATTAGGACTAAAAAAGACTTAGAAAAACTGGAAAATATCTGGTGAGGACATAATGAGAGGATATGTCCTAAATATAGACAATGTGGACTCCTCACTGCAAAGAAATTGAGAAAATACATTTCTAAGTGCATAAGCACTCTCTTTTTGATGAAATGCATATTTGAATTATGGCTGGTTTTATTATTTCTTTTTCAAATTTGAAAGAGGAACAGGTGGAGGATAGGAGGTTTCTGTGTGGTATGTAAGGTCTCACTGGCAATGGGGCAGCTGTGTCAAGAGCACAGTGCTGGGGCTGCAGGCTGCTGCCCCAGTCTCTTCAGCTTCCAGCAGGGGAACTTGACTTGGGACAGACCCTTCTGGTCTGGAGTGGATGGAATGAAGTCTGGTTGGGGTTTCAGCCAAGATACTCAAAATAGTCCAAAAGAGAGAAACTGAGATGGGATAAGAACAGAAATTCTGAACTCAGGGGAGGAGAACCAACAGACATTTGATTTATTTACTGCCTTTCATTTCAAAAGATAGAAATTCAACTAGGTTAGTCTAAGTGAAAAAGGGATAATTCCTTGGATCACGATCACATTCCCAGGAAGGAAAGGGGGGAACTGACTTCATGGACAACTCAAGTTTATCTAATACTGTAATGCCCCCCTCCTGCCTCTTCCTCCCCTCCCCTCCTGCCTTTTCCTTCCCTCCCCTCCTGCCTCTTCCTCCCCTTCCCTTAGAACTACAGGT